GCTCTCACAGGGTGCTGGTTCCCGCTTGCGGGCAGCGCTGCTGCCTGCAGCACACAGGGCTTGTCCGAAAGAGCTTCCCTGCCAGAGCAGCACCCGCACCCCACGCCGGCCCTGACCTTTCCTGCACCCAGAAATACAGCTTTTCAAGGCCAGGTCTCTCCGCTGAACAGACACAACACCTTTCCCCCGTGATTTCAGTGGAGCTTGCTGGTGACTGAGGGTCTTTTTCCTAAAACCAGCAACTTCTGCTCGAGGGGAGCGGAGAAACACCCAGGTTTGGGGGTCAGCTTAGTGCCCAGAGCATGTCCCAGCACCTCTGTATCCCGCGTGGTGCCAAGCTTCCCGGCTCCTGGGGAGCCCACCTCCACCTTCCCTCTCTCGCTGCCCCGAGACGCATCTCCCAGCCCCATTGCTTACCTTGACGGTGCAGGGCTGGGGGGGGCTCTCCCTGCGCAGGGGTGCACAAGATGAGGTGCTGCTTGCTCAAAGCAGCAGCATCTTGCAGCAGCCATGGGCTCAGCTGAGCTACAAAGCCTCCCCGGAGGGGCTGGTGTGGTTAACCCAGGGCGTGCTGCACCGGCCCCAGAGCTCACACCAGCTGTAGGCAGTGGGTTATAATCATACTTCCAGGCTATAGAATGTATTTTTGCATTATTTCTTCCCCAATTCTACGCACTCACTGCCCCAGGAGCCTAGGATAAGGTACTTAGACGTTTAGTGCTGTATCTTTCTTGCAGTACTAGATGCCTGCAAAGCAGCAGTGAGCAATAATCCCCATTCCTTGCAGGCTGTTTAGTTCCTGGAGCAGAGGGAAGGGCCCCATTTGTGCTGATCTGCAGGTCCCAGGTGTGAGCCATTGGGGTGGGGGGAACTGATAAATCCTGCTCCCGAGCCTGCCCTGTCATTTCCTCAGGAGAGAGGATGCTTCTGCCTTTACTTGCTCCAGTTGCTGGTATTCCTAGGTCTGCTGAGTATGGGGTTGTCCCCTCTGCACCCCAGGGTCTGGGGAGGGCAGGCATCCTCACATCTGTAGCTTTGCAAAGACAAGGTTTAAGCTGGACCCGCTTGGGGTAGCAAAGCTGGTGGCTCCATGGGCGTCCTCCGAGCACGGCTTGGCGCTCGGGCTGGTTCATGGAGGCAAAGCCCTGCTGCGGGATGGGCGAGCTAAGCCGAGCTCCTGGAGGCTGGGGCTTGACTTGATGGCTGTGCAAGCTGGGCTTTGCAGAAAGCTGCAAGACGGGCGGTTGCGTGGGGCTGTACTGTGTGAAGTTCACCCCCGGCGCTGCCCTGACCGCACACAGCCCCGAGGAAGCCCGTGTGCGCACGGCGCCTGTGGCTGCTCGTTTGTTTTAGGGGCTTTTTTTTTATCTGCATCCCTTGACACCTGGGGCTGCACTGCAAAGAGGGAGGCAAGTGCAGAAACTCAAGAAAAAAGGGTTTAGCGATGAAATCCCTGCTGTTCCCCAGGATGGATGGGCAAGGAAGGAGCTGGGGCACAAATGAGCAACCAGATGCTGTGACCAGAGGGTCTGCAGCCATCCCCGCTCTGGGCAGGGCGGGGGGTATTGCATGAGCATCCGCAGCTTGCGGGTGCGAACAGACACGCAACCAGCCCCGGATGGTGCAGAGGGAAGGGTACCCCCCACCATGGCAACGGGGAGCCAGGCTGGGCTTGCCTCCGGGG